TACTCGGGAGGCTGAGACAGGAGAATCGCTTGAACCCAGGAGGCAGAGGTTGCAGCAAGCCGAGATCATGCCAATGTGCTCCAGCCTGGGAGACAAAGTGAGACTCTATCTCAAAAAAAAAAAAAAAATATATATATATATATATATATATATACACACACACACACACACACACACACACACATATATATATCTCCAGAAATCTGGTCAGACTAAAGATAAAGATCTTCCAAAGCTACTCATGTTACACACAGAAAAGGATAATATTTTAGGGCACATTGGGGTAAATGGATAGTGATACTCAAAGCCAAGCGTTTTTCACCTAAGGATTCCTGCTACCCTAGTAGGCCCTGCCTGGCCTCCCTGAAGGACAGAACAAATTTGGGGTCCACTTGAAAGCCAGTCATGGAACACTGGTTATGAGGTCTGCTCTAGAAGGATTCATCATATGCTGATTCCAAGCAACATATTTTTTTCTACATTTTAACGTCTCTGAAATTAGGATGCATTTGACAACCAATAACATCTTAAAAGTGCACTCAGCCAGGTGGCGGGCATGATATCACTAACATTTTCTACCTTTGTTCAAATTCAGACTAACAATCTTCTATTGGTCCCTTCTGGTAAGACCGGGGAGACCCCAGCATCACGGTGAGTTACTGTTTAATGAGTACAGAGCTTCAGTCTGACATGATGAAAAAGTTCTGGAGGCGGATGGTGAGGATGGTTGCACAACAAACGATGTGAATGGACTTAATACCACTGGAACGTACACTTAAAAGTGGTCAAAATAGTAAATTATATGTTATGTATATTTCACCACAATTAAAAGCAGGAGGGAAAAGGCCCAGCATTAAACTTTGCAGAAAGAGCATCAGTGGCTTGGATCCAGAGACAATAGCAGAACACTCTTTTAAGAAACACTGCTTCTTGGCTTGCGTTCATAATGATGCAGAAGATGACACTATGCAAAAAAAAAAAAAAAAAAAAAAAAAAAAAAAAAAAAAAAAAAAAAAACCAGACATGAGGACCCTGAATACGAGGAAGTTTTAGGAATTCTTCAACCAACTTTTTCTCTTATAGGTTTTTTTAAATGTATTCATAGATGTGACATGCAACCAAAAAACAAACAAACAAACAAAAAACAATGCTGGAAATTTACCATTTGACCCTCCATGTCCACTCCCCGCCATCTTAACCACTGGAGGCCGCCCTCCTTGGACCGTATCAGGGTATTCACTCCCTTGGTTCCCTCCTTGCTTAGCTGTGCGTTGGCAGTGACATTTGGTTTCCTCCACCAAATGCCCCAGCTCCTGTCGGGCAGCCCTCTCTTACAGCCTCAGCTCCCCCCAGGAGCTGTTCTTTCCAGTCGCCCCTTGATGGCTGGGAGTGGTCACAGCTTCCCACTGCTGCCAGCACCAGAGTACTTCCCTCTTCCTGGCTGGCCTCCCTCAACCCTGCCCACACCCTGTGTAATATTCCTTTCAGCAGCCTCTCTTCAGTGCCCCCTTCCCTTTGGAGTGTGCTTTGGCAATGGTTAATTTCTTAGATTTGACAAATGAGGGTGAAATTTTCAATATGCTATAAAGAGTTAAAGAGATGTTTCCAATATTACCCTTCCGGAATTAATTTGGGATTACAGCCAAGCAAGTTTAATGTTTCGAAATATCATACACAATGCAGCTGAGCGCCAATTTTATTCCCTGGGTTAGTACTAATCGGCAAAATGTATGTAAGGGCCTCAGGAACAGACTGCCCTGAACATTCCTGTGTGTTGCCCCAGGTCAGTGGGTCTTCCTGCTCTCATACTATGCCCACCCACACCCCTCCTGTCTATGTCACTGGCTTTCAGCATGTCTTCTCTGCATGACTCTTAACAGCTTCATAACTGGCTAGTTTGCCTCCCAACAACTCACCCTGCCTTCTGCTGCCAGAATACATTTTCTACAAAAGCAGAGCTGATCAGGCCATTTTCCTGCTTACGGGCTTCTGTGGATCCCCATGGCTTCCAGGATGCAGTTCAAATGTTTATAGGTACCACACAAGACCCTTCCTGGTTTACCCCTGCCAATCTCCTAGCCTCATTTCCTGTTGCTCATCTGCCTGCCACACATAAAGACTTGCTGATTCCCAAACACATCATACTGTTGCATATTTACATAAGTCTGTACTTGCTGTTCCCTTGAACTAGAATGCCCTTTCCTCCCTTCATTCAGGTACCTCCTACTCATCCTCCAATATCCAGCTGTCACCTCCTCTGGGAAACCTTCCCGGATAGTCCAGGTTGATTTAGCAGCACGCTGTATCACACTGAAATGGCCTACATCCAGGAGCTGACACATGGTAAAGAATTCAAAGTTCCTTGAAAGAATGCATTAATGCAACTTATTTTCTGCTTCTATTGTGTTTCTTGTAGTATACCAACTAGGACACTTTTTGAAGAAACTGCAATTCTTCTCAGCATTCAATTCTGTCCAGTGGCAAAAGTGATCAGGAGATTCAAAGTAGTAAAAATAATCCCCAAAGTAATGCTACCACTAGGCCCTGGAAACCAACCTTACATACTACAGACAGACTGAAGATTTGCATTGAGCTAAGCCCTAATAATGTTCAGTGTTCTTAACTTTAAACCTAGACTCCCAGGCTTTGTACTATGCCATAACCAATGGGACAACTAAATGATACCCGGTACAGCACAGCTGCTAAGATCACAGACTAATCCAAACTGCCCAGCCACTGTCCAGTGGCTTCAGCCACTCTCCAGCTATGTGTCTTGGGCAAGTTAGTTAATCCCTTTATGCCTCAGTTTGCTTATCCGTAAGATGGGAATGATATTAACAGTACTGACCTTGTCGAATAAATGATTTAACATATGTGAATGGTTACAACAGTGCTTTGCACAAATTAAGTACTTCTTAACCAGCTATTTTTTTGTGTTTCTTCTATTAACTGGCAAAGAAAGAGGAATATCTAAGCAGCTAATCAGAGGTAATTTCAGGAGTGTCTCTTTGCTGTGTGGAGACACTCCTGGCTCTCCTAGTGCCCACTTAATTAATTCACAGATCAGAATTGCAAGACCTAAGTCTAATATTGCCGGGGGTCTGCAGAAGAGACACTGTCCTCCTTCCGGCTCCTCCAACACAACCAAACCAACACGGGTTGTTCATTCCTCACACATCAACTATAGCTGTGGGAACAATGAGTTCTGCCTTTTTTTTCCCTGTCTACTGCTTTCATATTTAAGGTCGCCCCTGTGTCTGCAGTGATTATCCCAGGAGATCTCCCTGTATATACCTCCCCATGAACAAGAAAATTTACATCAATTAACAAGAGACAAGCTTAGGGGAAGAAGTGCTTCCTGAACATCACCTGTGGACTTGACTATAGCACTCTTGTGGGATCCCAACAAATATGTTGTCCACCCCACTCCCAACTATTTAAAGAATATTTGAGAGCACTCAAATTCTTTGGCATAAACACTCTTTGAAATGCAAGGTTATGTAGAATCCTAGAATTTTACTGCTGGAAGATGTGGTGGGAGATTATACAAAATGGGGAATCAGTGACCCAGCACCGTGGCTTCCCAGCTCCTCTGCATCCCCCCATATTTCCCAACCCTTGCATTTGAAATTTAAAATGTTCTTTAAAAAGTTAAAGGCTTCCAGTGTTGATATATAGTCATGTACTGCATAAGGATATTTCAGCCAACAATGGACCAAATATATGACAGTAGTCACAAAAGATTATAATGGAGCTGAAAAATTCCTACAGCCTAATGATGTCATAGTTGTCATGTCATAACATCTTTTTTTAAATAGAGTGTAGCCTAAGCTTATGTTTATAAAGTCTACAACAGTGTAATGTTCTAGGCCTTCACATTCACTCAGCACTCACTCATTGACTCACCCAAAGCAACTTCTAGTCCCACAAGCTCCATGCACGCTAAGTGTCCCATATGGGTGTAACTTTTTTAACATTTTATATTGTATTTTTTACTGTACCTTTTGTATGGTTAAATAAATCCTTACCATTGTGTTACATTTGCCTACAGCACTCAGTACAGTGCCATGCTGCACAGGTTTGTAGCCCAGAAGCACTAGGCTATGGCATACAACCTACCATCCAGGTTTAAGAACACTCACTCTGTGATGTTTGCAAAAACAATGAAATCGCCTACCACCACATTTCTCAGAACCTATCCTCACCATTAAGCGATGCATGAACTAGTTTCAGCTGCACCTGTTTGGTTCATTCACATGAAGTATCTAAAATAAAGACAGGAGTGCCAGGGCCACGCAAAGTAGGTTGCTACTGATGGTTTCCTTTGCCCAGCGATCAGGGTTAAATCAACAGCACGGCCTCCCCAGCGTTTCTTGTTCTTCCTTCCCTGACATGTTTATCACCCTTCTGATTATATTTGTATTGTCTACCTCTTGCATGAGACAGACCTCCAAGAGGGCAGGGTTCGGGGCCTATTTTGTTCACTGCTGCATTCTTAATGTCTAGAGTCACACCTGATGCTCGGGAGGTGAAAATACACTGATTGCTAAATGACTGAGGTCTATGAGACCATGCCAGGTTTACAGTAAACACCCCAAGACTGCCGATTTTCTCAGTTCCTATTCCTGGCATCCTTAGCACCAGAGTAAACCAAAGCCCTCCTGCTTGGTTAGTCCTTAACTCATTTGTGGTCACAAACAGGAGAAACACAAATCATTTAAGCATAGAAGTCAAACCAGACTGAATCATGTCAGGGATTCCAAACCTTACCTTTCTCCGGAGGTGAGAGATCCTGACCTAATTCCTTTGTACGGATGACTACTCTCCCAGTCAACCGCTCCACCCTTTACCCTCCCATTCTCCTATAAAGTTGATTTTTCTTAGAATTCAGTATTTTCAGACTATCTTGTGGAGATGTACAGACATAAGAACCAGGAAAGAGAATCCTCTTCCTCACATAAGCACACCTCACATTCATCTCAAATGAACACAAGACGTACTTGAGTTTGGATCACTTTATTTAACTGCACAGAAATAAGTCAGCCGTTTTTGGGTAAAGGATTGAGGAACAAAAGCAAAACAGTCACTGACGGAAAAGTGGGAGAATGGATAATGGCCACACAAAAGAGAACACATGCTGCCTTAGGATCAAGACACAGTATTCCTGTGAAAAGCAACTGGTAGGTCCTCCTATTAAGCTCTAACATCAAGCAACTGAATACTTTCTCCCTCATTGAGCCTTCCTCCATTATCATCCCTCTCCCGATGATAAACTGGAATACACCTAAGTTAAAAAAATGCTGGCTTTATCAAGGGCTTCCCAGAGACACAAACAAGCAACCCCAAGGCTTCCGAAGCATCCCATAAAATATATCAGAAGCCCCTTCCCTTACCTGTCAGCACCACGGGCACAGGAACCATTTCCTTTTTTGCCTACCACCCTGCGTCCTGTGCCTGGCCAAAAGCTCATAAAACCATAACAGGGCAATGTCTATGGAACAGGACTACAATTTGGTGCCAGTCACTGACCCGCTATACAGAGCAGGCTATTGATAGGAACTCACCAACCCAAACCTCCATTCCACTAGGGATGAGAGAGCAGTCCACCTAAAGTATCTCCACAGCCCAAAACCATAAATCTCCCCCGCCCCCAGTGTCTTTCAAAATACTTTCTTAGAAAAAGTTCTTCCTTTCCATTAATAAAACTTACTTTAAAAAACAAAAGTGAACTGCACCTAAATCGGAAGCAGAATTGAGACTAGATCTCCAAACTTAATCCCTGCAGGCTGTCATTTATTCAGCAGGTCACTTGAGTAAAAGGACCATTATCCGTGGCTTCTGTACAAATATATTTCCTTCTTTAAGGGTAGAGAGTTTAAATTCCTGCAAGGTACTGCACACTAACACACCCACTAATAAATCTGCAACTCTCCTCTCCTGGCTCAGTTTAAGTGAGGCCAGTTTTTCAGTACCTGTTAAGCAACGCTGAAAAGTCCAAAGCTTTATTTTTTTCTTCTTTAAACCAAAAACTTCTGGAGTCAGGAGTCCACCAGGGTAAGATGAAGTAAGAGATTTGGGGTAATTTTGGTCCCATTTACAGTGTTTAACCCACTGTCTTCAAGGGAATTGGTCAAGTTCCTCGTGCTGCACTTGGACCCCCTCTGGCCTCGCCCCTCCCCCAAGGGAAAGGCGCAGCGACGTGGCCACCAGGGCCACTCGGCCTGGCGTCTGGAGCACTGGCGGTAGCGGCGACCACAGCCTCTAGAGACAAAGTTCTGTAGTGCACTGACTTCTATCATACTCAGAGTCGGAGTGTCTCAGAACTTTGCCTCAAAAGACCAAACGTGCTGTCTTTCTCCAGAAGTTTCTTCCTGCAGGTGTGCTCCCCCACCCCCCAGCTAAGACAAAGAAGAGTAACTCGTTAAAAGCAATTTAGCTCAGGATGCGACCGATAATGGAACGGGTCATTAATTATGGAAAGTTACTGCCGCAGTCAGCAGGAGCAAATGCCCCACAGAAACGGTGTTTTAACAGCCCGATTCGACAAATTCTGGTCGCAATGTCACAGCAAATGGGCTGCAAGAATCGCACACTCTCCTTCCTTCCTACCCATCCTCAGATGATAACCCCCATTCCTGGTCGAACCCCCACCTCCCCGGTAGTTATTTAAACTTTTGCCAGCAGCTCACTCACTCTACCTAACTTGTGGCAACTTTTTACCTTCCCATCTGGAAAGCTGGGGGCGGGGGCGCTGCACGAGGACGAATTTTCGGAGCTGGAAGAGTTAAACGGGGGGAGCAAATACAGGCCCGGGAAAAGCCCCGCAGATGGGACGGCCCAAGAAAGCCCCGCTTTGCGGGGCCTCCCCTGAGACTCCCCTTCCCCAGCCATTCCCAATACTCTATTCCCGGTCTTCCGGCCGTCCGCGCCCAGCCCCGGGAACTCGGGTCGAAGCCGTCCCATCCCCTCCCTTCTACCCACCCACTCTTTGGGATTCTCCCTGCCCCATCAGGCAGTGCTTCCCGCGGACCCTGTTCCCGCACAACCTTGCACACAGTCCCCAACACGGCTCTTCTCCGCCGCCTGGCACCCCCTTTTCCCTGCAGCAGAAGCGACCCCCTCCCCCCACATACCGCACCTGAACAGCTGTTGCGCGCGTGCAACAGGTCTGGAAAGTGCTTTCCCATCTTCCCCCAAACCCTCGCCACCGTTCCATCCCCCGCCACCCTTAAGAGCCAAGGCCGGAGGGGCAGTGGGCTGCTTCCCTCGGGCCGGGGAGCACGGGCGGCTGGCGGAGTGCGGGGCGCCCAGAGGCTCCCGGGGCTAGAGGCGGTGGTCGTGCTGGGCCGGGACGCCTTCGCGAGTGGCCCCTCGTGCGCCCGCCGCAGGCTCCCCAGCCTGCCCTCCAGCGCCGGCCGCCAGGCATTCCCGGGCCGGCTCCCCCCTCGCGCTCCGCTCCGCTCCCTTCCATCTTGACTTTTGCCGACGTGGAAATTTTGGGTTTGGAGACGACCTGCGCTCTTATTGGCTGCCGGCGGGCGGGGTCGGAGGTCACGGCTGCTCTCGCTATTCCGCGCCAAGGGGAGCCGCACAGCGGCTCGTGTCAAGTCAGCAGGTTCCCTCCGCCTCCCCCGGGGTCACGTGCGCCCCGGGCGGGCCCGGGAAACGCCTCCTTATGCAAATAGAGCGGCCGCGCGGGGCTGGGGGCGGGGGCGGGGGCGGGGGCGGGCGGGGGCGCGTGGGGGCGGGGGCGGGGGTGCGGCGGGCCGGCCCCGCCAGAGGCGGTGCTGGGAGGGCGGGGCGCTCCAGGTGGCCACCTGGCTCGACTTCCGCCCCGCCCTCCTGCCCACCAGCCTCTACCAGCCTGCCTGTGCTGCCTCCCGCGACATTCGGGCCGGGCTCTGTCCGCGGCCAGCCCCGCTGGGCCCAAGGAGCTAGCGTTTTGCAAGGTGCCCCTGAATGCCCGCTTCCTCCGGAGCCCCCTCCTCCAAACCCAACCCAAGCGCTGCCTGGGCCCGGTCTCTCCTGACTGGGGAGGAGGAGGCGAAGACGCTGCCTGCAGGGCAGAGTGCGAAATGGAAACCTCGGGAGGACAGTTTCCTCCCCTGGCAGGGAGTTGAGAACTAAATGCGAGATTCCCGGTAAGGGAATTCTAGGACAAAGCAAAATCAAGAATTCATCAAGGTTAAAAGTCGTTTCTTTTAATAAACTGCCCACCACCCATCGCCAAATAGGCCAAATTGCTAACTAAAAGTAGTAAAAGTGCCAGTTCTGCAAATTTTTTTTTTAACACGTCTACAAGGACTAACCGAAAGCCCGGTTTTCCTCCGCCCTGACGTCTGGTGGGTACTGGGCACCCGAGACTGAACCAGGGGACACGTACTCCTTCCCGCATCTAGATGGGGGTGTGACTCGGGGGCGCCCAGAATTCCCTAAGAAGAGGTCGCGGGCACGTAGAAAGAATCAGTTTTAACGTGGTACCCCAAGCACGCCAAAGAAGATGCTTTTCTAGAAAGAAAGGGAAATTGATGAATGACCACGTGACCAGGATGTCTTCCTTCCTTCCCTCTCCCCAAGGAAAAGAAAGTAACTGCATTGCAAAGGTAGAGCCCATGTTATAAATCGGACTCTGATGCCGGCCTGTAGTCACCAAGGAAAAAGAAGGGGACTGCATTTTAAAAAATATAAATATTTCTCAGAACTGGCCTAGTTATTTTTCCCCTCAGGTAACAAAGTATGTGTATCATCTTTATAATGGTTCCATCTTAAGTCTGACCCAGTGATACAGAAAAACATAAGATACGTTTTTATGGGAAGATTCTTACCTGGAAAATTCTTCCCATCCACTCTTCTTAATTTACTTTCCTTCTCCCCATTTCCCCCTATGGAAAGATAAATCATTGCTCCTTCCAACTGTTTTATCCTCAAGGATCTTTGTCTCCACTCTCCTTTCTCTTCCCTCTCCACACTTGCTTGTTTATCTGACCATTCCCGGGTTTGCAGGGGCCTCTCCCCAGGCATTGTCTCCTCAGCCCTCTGCTCCCCCCTTCGGTCAAGGCCCGGCGGCAGTGCTTGCTGGGCCACGGAGTGGGTCCCCGCTCTGCTGCCTGTTATGTTGTGTGCACTGGAATATTGATTTTTCAGTGTGTGTGCGCCGGCTCTGTAAAAATCAATATTTCAGTAGCTCGAGCACAGCGCAGGGCAGTGTAATGGAGCCAGCCTGCTGATGTAACGTGCGGGGTCCACCCTCAGCGATTGAGGTCAGAAAATGGCAGTGTGTTTTCCCATTTCATTGTTTGCTTCGGAGAGAAGGAAAGAGTTTGCATACCGTTGTGTACATCAGATTCCAGGATGAGGTAACCTTACTACTGTTGGGTAACAGACGAACCAAGTTAGAAAAAAGACAACGAGGTGATGATGGAAAACCTCCGATTATCCTTTGTAAGAACGGATCTTAATAAAATATTGGGGGAGGAGGGGAGTTATTGTCTGCCATCAATCCTACCACATTTCACAATGAGAAAATGAAAATAGGCTCACTCCAGGAAAGGGCTGGAGTTGATCTTTTAATACTGGATATGTGGGTGCTTATTATTCCGCAGCCCCTAAAATTTGCTTCTGATTAAAAGGACAATATTTTTCGCATGATTTGAAGGGAAAAAATAATAATGGTCCCAACTTGAGGGCTAGCCTCATGACATTTGCAGCAGATGTGGAAAGACAACTGGCCTTGGAGTCAGGAGGGGGTGTTCTCACCAAGCACCCCTATAAGGAGAGCTTTTAGTGAGTCAGTTCACCTCTATGGGCCTCAGGGAATTTACCTATAATTTAAAGGTTTAGACTAAATCACCTCTAAGTACCATTTTGCTGTAACACCTATGAATCTACAGAAGAAATAGTGTTATAGCTAAAACCTTCAAAAAAAAAATACAATTGAGTGTGTACCATGGATAAGAAAAATAGCTTAATACCAAGAGTGTTACAGAAAAAGAAGGCAGAGATGCTCCGACTTCTGGTTGCATGTTTTATTTTACATTATATTCCAATGCAATCTTTTCTGGGGGTAACTTGACCTAGCATTTCTAATTTTAAGAGTTTTTCCTAAAGAAATAATTAATATCACTAGAAAGATGTTTATCACTGCCGGTAGTACAATATTGAAACATTAGAAACAACCTATGTATTGAATAATAAGGGATTTATTATATAAAATATGGGGAGTGGTATAGTTATTGAGTGGGATACAACTATTTAATATGGTGATGCTGAATGACTATCAAAATAATATGGAAGGTTTGCATTCATTGAGATGGATGTACTATTTAAATCTCTATGTGTCCATGTATGCTTATGTCATAATGGTAACAGATATGGGCTCTGAAGCTAGATGGCTTGAAGTCACATCCTGTCTCTGCCACTAGCCAGCTCTGTGGCCTTGGCCAGTTGTAAACTAGGTGTATTAGTTTCCTATCGCTGCTGTAAGAAATTCCCACAAACTTAGTGGCTTAAAATAACATACATTTACTATCTTACGGTTCTAGTGGTCAGTCCAAAATAGGTTTTGCTGGGCCAAAATCAAGGTGTCAACAGGGCCATACTCTTTCAGAGACTCAAGGGGAGATTCTGTTTCTTTACCTTTTCTAGAGGCCTCTTGCATTCCTTGGCTTGTGGCCCCTTCCTCTGTCTTAAAAGCACAGCACTCCGTCCCCTGCTTTTGTCATCACATCTGACACTCATCCTTCTGCCTCCTTCTTTTAAAGATCCTTATGATTACATTGGGCTCACCTAGATAATCCAAGATAATCTCCCCTTCTCAAGAGTCTTAATCACATCTGTAAACTTCCTTTTGACATGTAAGGTAACACAGTCACACATTCCACGGTTTGGAATGTGGATATTTTGGGGCTGTCATTCTGTGTACATTGTTGGGCTAAAGTCAAGGTGTCAGCAGGGGTGCATTCCTTTCTGGAGTACCAAAAGGAGAAATCCATTTTTTGATTTTTCAGTTTCTAAAGGTTTCCTGCATTCCTTGACTCTGGCCCCCTCCTCCACCTTCAAAGCCAGCAAAGGCTGGTTGAATCATTCTCACATCCCATCACTCTCATGCTGCCTCTTGTGTCTCCCTCTTCCCTTCTGATTGCATTGGGCCTACCTGGGTAATTTAGGATATTCTTGCTATTTCAGGATCAGCCAATTACCAACCTTAATTTTGTCTGCTATCTTAATTCCCCTTTGCCATGTAACATAACGCATTCACAGGTTCCTGGGATTAGAATGTGGACATTTCAGGGAGGTTGTCATTCTGCCTGCCACACTGCCTATGACTGATGGTGATAATCTACATCATAGGGTTGTGCAGAAGATTAAACAGTCCACACATGAAGACTGTTTACAAAATGCCTGGCATTTTGTAAGAAGCACTCTATAATAACTAGCACAGAGTAAGCATTTCATAATAATGATCCGTTATAGTTATTATCCAGAAAGGAAATACAAAACAGAGAATAGTTGCATCTGAAGGTGGGATTAAAACTGATTTTTATTTTCCTCATTTTGCTAATTTTTGTTTTCTTTTTCTACCATGAACATGTATTATTACTTGGGTACTTTAAAATTTTTTAATATAAATAAGAAAAAACCAAAAAGGAGGTTGTCACATAGGAGAATAATTTAATTTGGGGTTAGAAGGTCCAGGTGCTCACCTCAGCAATGGTACGAACACAAATTGTGGTACTGGGAGAGTAACTTTACCTCCGTGTACTTCAGTTTTCCTCCTCAGTAAAATGAGAGAGATGAACTATGTGTTTCAAATGGTCTTTCCAGTTCTAAATGCTCTACACCTGACATGTTAAAGATCAACAGATTGATAAATGGATTTTAAAAACCCATGCTGCTTAGTACATAAAGAACCCTGGCTGCTTTGCCTATGGAGTAGCCATTTTTTTATTCCTTTACTTTCTTAATAAACTTGCTTTCACTTAAAAAAAAAAAAAAAGGAACTCCACAAAATCAGTAAGAAAAAAGACAGCCCTATAGAAAAAAAAGAATGGAAAAAGGCATAAACAAGCATTGCACAGAAAAAGAAAAGCAAATGGCAAATAAGCATAGGTAAAGATGTTAAGCCTTATGAGAAACAAGGAAATGCAATTTAAGACTTCAGTGAGATATCATTTTATACCCACTAGGCTGGCAAAAATTCACAAGTCTGACAACATCAACAGATGGTGATGATGTAAATCAGTGGCATTCGGGGTCTTTTCACACAACGGGTTATTATACAGCACTGAAAATGAATGAACTACAGCTCCTCACAAAGCTATGGATAAAGCTTGGAAACATAATGTTGAGCAAAAAAAAAAAAGAAGATGGAAAAAAGCAAGTCCCAGGAGAGTACAGATATAACGATGCCATTTTTATAAAGCTCAAACGTAGCCAAACCATACATTTCTAAGAAATTCATAAAGTGATAAAAAGCAAGAAAATGACAAATAGAAAATTCGGGATAGTGGTTGCTGGTAGGATGTGGAGGGAAGGAGGGTGAGAAGAACCACCCAAAGGTGGATGCAATTGGCAGTGTTCCAGTTCTTAAATTGGACATAACAATTAGGTTAATAAGTGTTCAGTGTATTATGTTTTGTGATTTGCATATGTGAGAGAGAGAGATATTTCATATGTACCAAATATTAGATATAATTTTTTTTAAGAATTCTGTTTAGGGGCTTCTGTATTCTAATCTAAGATGCTTTAGTTCTTGGAGTTGAGGCTAATCACTAAGATTCCCTTCAAACTCATAAAAGCCAGCTCTTTATTGGCAATTTGCTATTTGTAATCCCTCTAGTTAAACAGACTTCATAACAGCCACCTACATCTGGGCTTGTGCAAAAAATGTTTTCAGTTTATGCTCCAAGTGAGCCTCATTTTCTCTGAGAACTACACTGTACTCCCAGAGTTGAGGGGTATACCAGCAGGAGCAGGACCTCCAAAAGTCTCTTGCAGCATGCCCTTTGTGTGCCCCTGGAGCCCTTCCTTCATCTTGCCTGCAGCTAGCCATTTGGGCAGCTTCTGCAGCTAGGGCTGAGCTATACAGTTCTTAAATATCCCGCTTAGCCCATGTGAATTTGTCTCTACTCCGATTCATTACAGTTTTGATTTTAATGCTGAAAAATCACATTCTGTGTGCTCCTGACTTGTCTTCTGTTGTTTTATAAAGTTTGTCCATCTGGCCAAGACATCATCTAGAGTGGCTTGGTCTCACAGTCCTGCAACAATCTGGTATTAGTGTTATTTTTGACTTTGATTCCATCGTCTCCCAAAGAATAAGCCAATTTTGTTTGATGTAGTTTTCTACTTCCATGACTCTAAACGAAGCATTTGGAAGTAATTATTAGAACTCACAGGTACTTTAAATATCAGTGTTTCCACTGGAAGGATT